ATTGCGCCAGGCCTTCCGGTCCTTCACTGCCTCCCTGAGTTTGCTCAGTTTCATGCTCGTTGCTTCAGTGATGCTATCTAAGAGAAGACAGCAGCAGACTGCAAATTCTGCCTCTGCAAAGAAGCTGAAGAAACAGTGGACCACCTACTTAGCTAAGGCAAGAAGATCGTGCAGACTGATTACAAACAACGGCATGACAAACTAGCGACAATGGTGCATTGGGATATCTGCAAGAAATACCATGGCCTGCAAGCAAGAACTGATGCGACCACAAAACACACAAAGTAATAGAAAATGAAGAAGCCAAAGTGCTCTGGGAATTTAGAATTCAAACAGACGAGCACCTGCCACACAACAATCCAGACTTATGGTCAATTGATAAATAATAAATAAATAAATCTGACCAAATGAAATGTCTCATGTGACAGATTGCTTTCAGCACCATCTTCTCTGTAGCCATTTCAAGTGTACTGAGGAAAACGAGTATAGTTTTCTTGCTTTCAGGGGAGGGGAGGGGAGGGGAGGGAAGGAGTAAGAGGAGGATTTGGCATGTTCCATTCCATAGTCAAGTTTAAGTGCATAGGCTTACAATGAAGAGGAACCTGTAGCTTTGTTATAGTTATCCTGATTCCTGTGTCTTTGAGGACATTGGCTTTGACAGTGGTGTCTCAAGCCTACCATGGCTGACAAACAAAAACTTCAAAAATAGATGTCTATGGACAAAAGAACTCAAATATATAGGTGTTTTATAGAAAAACTATGAACCCATTACAAAATAATTCCCACAACTGTTATGTATCAAATCTGAGCCCTTTTTATGCTGAAATGAAAGTTCAAATTATTATGCCTCTTTTCTTCCCACCTTGTGATACAAAGGACTAGACCTTTTCTCTTTTAAGTGGGATGTTCAGATCTGGAATCAGGCTGTTTACTTTTCACCTTGTGAGAACCAGCTGTCCCAAACACAGAGTAAAGTATGAACTGCTTAGCTTAAATTTTCCCAATCCTGGTGATGTAGGTTACATAGCTGTTACCCAAATCATGCAAAGCACTGTTGCAATATGCAGTGGTCCATAGGAGAACAGTACCTATAACTGGGAGAATATCTAGGAAAGGAAGCTCATAAGAATGCCCCTTCTCTGCTTGTTTGGTCAATGAGGTCTAATTATGTCATTTCCCACAGAAATACACACTGAATCTATACTTAAATATTAGAATCTATAGAAATCCTTTTTCAGTTATTTATTTGAGCTTCAATTAAGATTAAACATGTATGTTTGCACATATATCTAGAATGTTTAATTACAGCAAAGCTATGCATTTGCCATAAATCGATGTGGGTATTACCACATTATGTACAGATCATCATGGAGAAAGTGTATCTAGGTGGTTGCCTTGGAAAAGATACTCAAACGCTGTGATGTGTCTACACCTAGAAAGATCAGAATCATGCAAGCCATGGTATTCCCTCTGACACTCTATGGAAGCAAAAGTTGGACTTTGAAGAAGCAGGATAAGAAGAGTATTGACGTTTTTGAACTTTGGTGTTGGAGAAGACTCCTGAGAATACCATGGACAATCAAGAATATGTGTGCTGTTTCTGAGGGAGTAGGTAGAGAAAATTTCATCTCCTATATTCACTATTTTCTTATATTGAATTTGTGAACAATGTGGAGTGGAGCACTCACTCTCTCTCTTCCTCTTCACATCTGTAGCACCATCATCCCCATCCACCAAATTGTTTCTTTCATGATACAGAATAGAGGAGGAATCTCCTGGTGTCCTTCTGCCATCTCTATTCTGCTGCTGTTATGTATATAAAAGGGTTAAAGGTGGAATAACCAAAGGCCACTCCCTTTGGGACCCGTCCATTGTATTTACTCAAAATTGTTTTAGATGGTTGGGGCATTTAATATTGCATTATGTACCAGTTGAAGTTTCTGGATACTCTTCCATGGCAGCCCCATGTAGAGTGCATTATAGTCAGGAGGTAACATGTTCTCCTTTGGCCAGCTCACTATACCAGTAGGATATCTGATGACTAGCAGGGCATACATATGACATCCAATGCCATGGACATCTTATCCTGGTGCCTGGAGCTGTGTGGGTCTAGATGGGGAGCAACAGGATTCAGCTGAACCATGGCAAGACTGAATGGCTTTGGGATGCCATCTTTGGTCCTAGATGGGGTGCACTGCCCCAAATAGACCTGGTGTGGAACCTGGGTTCCTCTTGCACCCAGGACTCTTGCTCAAAAGGCAGGTGGCAGTTGTGGCTAGGAGGGCCGTTGCACAACTTCATATTGTGCACCAGTTGCACCTGTTCCTAGGGGCCAGTCCACAATCATACACGCCTAGCCAGTAGAGGGAATCCACAAAAAAGTGGTTAACAATCTCTGGGTCATCTTGTTCTTCTTCCTCTACAGGCCTGACAGAAGGGAAGGCAAGATGGCCTCCATGGGGAGGAAGGTTTCACACTAGCCTGCCACTCTACTGTTATCCCCCTCCTGCACCTAGCCACTGCCAATACCTCCAGTGTCTCATTGTCCTGGTTGGTCTCTCAGATGGAAAGTTGCCAGATGGAGAGTTGCCAAGGGGCAGCTCCCAGCCTCAGCCATCAGGGTCACACCACATCATAGCAGGCACAGGACCTCTGTCAGCAGCATGTAACTGCAATCCTTCAGCAATGCCGACTGGCCATAAGCAAAGCCCAGTCCTCCACTGCTGCCAGCTGCTGGCCAAACAAAAACAAAAACAAAACAAAAAACACTGCCCAGCTGGCCCAGCATGCAGCCTAGGCCTCCTAACCATCCCTCCAACAGAACCACCAATTAACCACCACCAAAGAAAAACAT